GGCTGGGTGCGGTGGCGCACGTCTGTAGTCCTAGCACTTTGGGAGGCCAGAGCAGGTGGATCAACTGAGGTCAGGAGTTTGAGACAAGCCTGGCCAACGTGGTGAAACCCCGTCTCTACTCAAAATACAAAAATTAGCTGGGCATGGTGGCGCATGCCTATAATCCCCGCTACTCCGGAGGCTGAGGCAGGAAAACTGCTTGAAGCCAGTAGGTGGAGGTTGCAGTGAGCCAAGATCATGCCACTGCACTCCAGCCTGGGCAACAAGGTGAGACTCTGTCTCAAAACACATATATAAAAAATAAATAAATTTTAAGAACTCTGGGAAAACTCCTACTTCGTAAGTATATATATATTTGGCTCAACAGATTGTGAAGGCTTGATAAAATGGTTTATGGCTTACTGTTTTCTGTGTCTAGCACATCACTAAGTTCAACACTTATTTACTTATTTCTACTACCTAATGCAGTGCTTGGCACATGGTAGAGAAAGCAGTAAACTATAAAAAGATAAGAAGAAGAGTGAGTGGGAGGAAAGAAAAAATGGGGAGGGGGAGAGTGGTTCCAATTTACTACACTATTCACCAAATACTGGTAATATCAAGAGATGCTCACCGTGAACACTGTTTCAGATAAAATGAGAGGATTTCATTAAATAACTAGATTAGAGACCTAAGGGACTTATCGTATGTTTATGAAGAATGCTAAAGATCAAGTTTTTATTTACTCTATTCAGACTTCAAAGCTACAAGATATCTAATAAGTGGACAAGGGGGAAGCGAATTACTATGAAACTATGGTTAAGTGCCTAGAATACCTTCTAGGTAAATTTTGTTAAAGTATATCTAAGTAATTGCAACAAACTCCCCCAAAGTTGTCTATGTACTTATTTTCCTGGATATCTTGGCAGATCAGGTACCCTTTTTAGGCCAGTCCTGAAAAGAAAAGTGTACTTAAAAAAAAAAAAAAAAAAAAAGATGGCTCAGAAGTAACTGAGGAAAGGGAAGAGAAAGCCTACTGGGAGGTCTATGGAAAAGGAAGGCATGTACAGGAAGAAGCAGTCAACTAGGACACCATTTTAACTCTCCCTTTCCTACAGTTAATCTCTTGAAGACGGCATCACATTTATTACCAAATAATGGCATGGCCCATTACAAATACTAACTGCACAGATTATATATGTAAAATGATTCTCTAAATATATGGAGGGTAAGGTTTCAAAACTGAAACCTTTAATGACTTGAGATATCTCAAAGACTGTTCCTCATTCAAACAAGGCTGCCAATACCTAAAGATACAGCATTGCTTAATTCAGTAGGAAAAGTAAGATATATTAAGACACCCTCATTCAACAGAGTGAATGACAAGTCCAAGGTCAAACAGGCATTTAAATAATTCATACTGTCCTCTCAGGTAAACAGTTTGATCCAATATAACTACTATTGTTGCCTGTCTCAAAAAGAACTAGTTTTCTAACTGTAAAGAATGTTTTTGGCTGGACGTGGTGGCCTGTACTTGTAATCCCAGCACTTTGCAAGGCTGAGGCAGATCACTTGAGCCTAGAAGTTCAAGACCAGCACAGGCAACATACTGAGACCCCATCTCCACAAAAAATAATCACTTTTTCCTTTAAAAAAGTTTAAAACTTATTTAGGCAGGGCACTGTGGCTCCCGGTTCTATAATCCCATCATATTGGGAGGCCAAGGCAGGATACTCATTTGGCCAAGAATCCGAGACCAGCCTGGGCAACATAGCAAGATCCTGTCTCTAAAAAAATAAATAAATAAATTAGCTGGCATGATGGCATGCACCTGCAGTCCCAGCTAGTTGGGAGGCTGAGGTGGGAAGGACTGCTTGATCCCCAAGAGTTCAACTAGCCTAACACAGGAAAACTCTGACTCAGGGAAAAAAAAAAAGTTATTAACTTATTTGAATGGATTCACTTAGTTAACAATACTGCTCCTGAGCAAGCCAATTAGCCTGCCTTGATGTTACTGAACACAAGTCACTCTTCAGTTAGAAGGCTGAGGTAAAAACCTACACGTAGTATCTGAGTGCCAAAGGCCTGAGGTCTTTCAACACAGTTTTGAAACCTGATTGCACATTTCAACCACCTGGGGAGAAGCATTAAAATATAAATATGCCTGAGCCCCATGCCAAATCTGTGGAATCTAAGTTAAGCTTACCAGGGCATTGATGCAGCCAGGTGGAAATTGGGTCCCAGACCAGGATTTTGAAACTAATGTTCTAACCACAGAACAAAACACTCTGCAACTACCTTAATTCATCTGTGTGACTAAGGTTTATCTGCCAACCAACATTTTCTCTAACCTAAAAGGTACAGGAGAGAAGATCACATGAAAATTTAGTTACCTTTATGTTTTCTGGTTGCTTAGACTTACTTGCTTTTTTTAAGAGCAAAAGTGAGGCTTAAGAACCAACTGGAAACAGGGACTGACGATATTATATAAAAGGTAATGGAATAAATGTGACTATTAAAGAAAAATACACATCTTCCTAAATACCTAAAGAAACAGGCCTTTCTCCCCCATGAAAAAAAATAAGATGAAGTTGTGCAATCAACCTCTTTAAGGGGTGACAGTATGCAGTCATTTTGACACAGAGAAGACTGCTGTTTCTAGTTTACTCAAATGGCACAAGTAGTTTCCCCATGCCAAGTAAAATGTAGGGTCTTTGGTGCTAATAACAAACCCACTGGCATTTCCCATCTGCCTCACTTGGGTCAGTGAGCAATAAATATGAAAGAATTCTCTAGAGTCCTACATTTCTGCTCCAACATACCAAGCTCAAGGCCTTCAAAAATAATACAAGTAAACAAAACCTAAAGTCTGGATATCTAAATACCTCTATCCATTTCTCTCATTTCTGCTCTTTCCAACCAAAAGGTCAAAGCCCATTTCCACTTCCTCAGTCAAAGCTACTTGCCCATTTCAGGCTAGGTGTGGTAATTCACGCCTGTAATCCCAGCACTTTGGGAGGCCAAGGTGGGAGGATCACTTGAGGCCAGGAGCTCAAGACAACATGAGTTGAGGCCAACATGGCAAAATCCAATCTCTACTAAAAACAAAAAATTAAATGAGCGTGGTGGTGCGGCCCTGTAGTCCCAGATGCTTGGGAGGCTGAGGAATGAGACTGCTTGAACCTGGGAGGCAGAGGCCACAGTGAGCCGAGACTGCTCCAGTGCACTCCAGCCTGGGCAACAGAGTGAGACTCTTTCTGAAGGAAAAAAAAAAAGTGGAAAAAAAAAAAAAAAGCTACTTGCCCATTTTAAATCCTTACTACCTCTTTTTGCTAGAACCTTGATCTGATATTTTTGGGTGCTCAGTTTTTCAAAGAGCTCTCACATACACAAGTGTCAATATAGGAGTTTATAGTTATTTTTCTACTATTTCTATTCTGGCAATTAAAGAACCTGGAAACTACTCATTGTCAACATTACAAACATTTTCCTGTCTGTCCATAAATGAAGCTTTTCTTTTTCAGTTGGGCCAACTGTAAAGAGGTATCTTTAAGATCCTACATATTACTTTTATTACAGAAAATAAGGCCATCTGACTCTTTCCCTCAGAAATATATATATAAGAAATATATATATATGTAAGATTATAAAAAATTAGGAAAGGAGGAGATGATACAAAGCATATGAGACAAAATGAATATGGATAACTGGAAAACCAAGTCTACTTATAGCATTTCATTTGTCAATGGAGATTTCTTAGGGGCATTCTAAATGCTACAAAGATTATAAACATAAAAGTCAATATATTTCCAGTTTCCCACATTTATCATACCCTCCCCTTACCCTGTACGCGCAAACATGTATATACACACATTCTCCAGAAATGCCTCCCAAGAGATTATTTAATAAATCATAAAAACCACACATTTCAGCAGCCATAAGAATTAGAGCATGGAAAATCCCAAAGGTCTAGCTTTCAGCAGCTGAGAGGTAGAGGATGCTTTACAAAGAAATCCCGTATCAATGATACAAGTAATTGTGATAAATAATGTAGGCCCTAATCTCCCCAAGCCAAATAATTCATTTACATTCCAAAACTATTTTTCATAAAGATTATGTACTATTAAAATACAAATAACAAGGTTACCCAAGTATACGTAAACAATTTGAAAAAAATGGAGATCAAAAACCCTTTCAGAAAGCTAATTTAACTTTTAAAAAACATGGAGGTAAAGAAAAAGATTAAACTGCACATCAGGTATTCCATAAAAGCAGAATTTACTGTGCATGAACCCACACGAGCAAATCTTAAGTTAATCACTGAGCAGAGAATTCAGCAAATCCAAATGAGAGAATGAAGGGTTTAAAAATGACAATGTGTAGAGGAATAATCCAAACAGCAAGATAATTATTTAAATCTCTCAAGTAAAAAGACAGACGCCTGCATGACCTCACGCCCTCCCTTGTACTTGTTTCAACGTGATTGCCAATGTTTGTACTCTTCAAAGTTCCAAGGGTCATAAAACAGCTTTGTATTAGCTGAATGCCTTGCTTTCAACTTCGGTATCATGGATTCCATTCAAATTCACTGTCCTTTCTCTACCTGAGGTGGAGGTGCAGGTTTGCCATTAAGAGCCATCTGCAAGGGGGCAGTCTGGCCTGCAGGAGGCAAAGGAGCAGTCTTCAACTTCTTTGTACTACTTTTAGATGGATGCTCCTCCTCCTCTTCATCAGAATCCTGAAGGCCATATTTAGAAAAATGGGAGACCTAAGGAAGAGAGGAACCCCACAAAATCAACTTAAACATTATGCTTTCACAATACCTGCCTTTGCAATCTTGCAGCATTACCTTAAGAAAAAAGAAAAAGGGAGAAATATCAAAGTATTTGAAGCAAAATATGTCACCTATCACACTTCTGTGTAAGATTTAGAAGACGTCTGATGTATGTACTAGTTGCTCACACTAGTAAATTAATAAATATTACATAACATACATTAAAATGTCACTTAAACTGTAATCATTAATATAGGAAACTTAATCCAAAGACCTACGATTTTCACAGACATATATTGTCTGTTATCCTCTATCTACACAAGGGCCTTTAACAAGTTAAATTCAACCAGCCCAGAATGGGAGGAAATCATTGGGTTAAACTACTAAGGACAGTCAACCTCTTCATCTCCAAAAATCTTTAAAAGTAAGAATGACAATTACATAGGAAGAGTTGATCCAACAGAAAACTGCCTGATGAATTACTGAAGTCCCTAATGATAACAAACATTAGAAAAACTATACCTTAGAAATGTATTTATAAATCCTCATAGGAGGTGGGTAGAGGACTTCAATCATGAGCCCACAGAGTTTATAAGAGCTCATTACCGCTGAATTTTAACTAGGTTTGTAGCTTGGAGCGAATCATAATGTATCTGTACATCTCTTTCCAAATTTAAAAAAATAAATTTAGAGAATTTGGCTGGGTGCAGTGGCTTACACCTGTAATCACAGTACTTCTGGGAGGCCAAGGAGGGAAGACTGCTTGATCCCAGGAGTTGGAGACCAGCCTTGTCAACACTGAGAAATCCCATCTTTACAAAAATTTTTAAAAAGTTGCCAGGCATGGTAGTTCATGCCTGCAGTCCCAGCTACTTGGGAGGCTGAGGCAGAAGGATTGCTTTAGCCCAGGAGTTTGAGGCTGCAGGGAGCTATGATCCTACCATTGTACTCCAGCCTGAGCAACAAAGCAAGACCCCCATCAATCAATCAATAGAATTTAGGAGGCCGGGCGCGGTGGCTCAAGCCTGTAATCCCAGCACTTTGGGAGGCCGAGACGGGCGGATCACGAGGTCAGGAGATTGAGACCATCCTGGCTAACACGGTGAAACCCCGTCTCTACTAAAAATACAAAAAACTAGCCGGGCGAGGTGGCGGGCGCCTGTAGTCCCAGCTACTCGGGAGGCTGAGGCAGGAGAATGGCGTAAACCCAGGAGGCGGAGCTTGCAGTGAGCTGAGATCCGGCCACTGCACTCCAGCCTGGGCGGCAGAGCGAGACTCCGTCTCAAAAAAAAAAAAAAAAAAAAAAAAAAAAAAGAATTTAGGAAAGGATCTCTTCCAACATAAATGTTTTATGACCCCAAATATAGTTTATAATTATAAAGTCTGAACTGGGTTAAATGACTATACCTTAAACACCCAAGAACCAGTTTCAGGCCGGTATTCTTTGAATTGAGCTCCCTGTTTCCTTGAAACTGCTTCCAATCTTCCTTCATAGTTGATATCAGCAAGGCGATCTGGGCTCTTTATTAAACAACGAGATGTTTTATCTGTTGGCCAAACTCCATCCAATGTAACTTCAGCCTTCCTGTAAAACATAACCAATTACAGTAACCAGTTAAAGTAAAAATGCTTCATATATAAGACCAGAAAGCCACCTAACACATAAATAGTGAATAATGGTAACTATGTTGCCTTGGAATTATTCTGCATGTGTCATAAAGTGAATTTTGCCCCATAAGCCTAAGAGCAAGGAGTCACTCCTACACTGACTAACTCAGTATCTGGTTCTAGAGTCAGATCACATTTATTTAAATTACCACAGTACATCAATTATTTCCAATCTAATTTTCACACTTAAGCTAGGAATCACTAACTTAAGTTAAAGTCCAGTGGTACGAACCAAGTCTTATGTAGGTCTTAAAGGGTTACTGTACTATATAATAATAAAAAACAGCTACTACCTATTTACTAAAAACAAATGCTTCGAAAATGAAGTATGAGGAATATTGGTGTGAAGATGACTACAAGAGTGGTAGTGTACCACTTCTAATATTAACACCAGAGTTCAAGTGCTGTATCCTATTCATTTTGTATGCCTTACACCTAAACACAGTGACTAGGATGTAATAGGTAGATGCTGCTCTCCATTTCCTGCTTCCTGGATCCCCTGGCAAATACCACTCTACTTTGTTTCTATGAAGTTGACTTATCCCAGATACATTACAATATACTATTTGACTTTCTGTGACTGGCTTACTTCACTTAGTGTGTCCTCAAGGTTCATCCATGTTGTAGCATATATCAGAATTTGCTTCCTGAGGCTGAATAACATATATTTTTAAATTTTTAAAATAAAAAATACGGAACACTTCATGAATTTGTGTGTTATCCTTCTGTGGGGCCATGTTAATCTTCTCTGTAGGCTGAATAGTGTTTTATTGCATGTATGTATCACATTGTTTACCCATTCACTTATCAGTGAACATTTGGGCGACTTTTACCTACTGGCTGTTGTGAATAGTGTTGCTATGAACACGGGCATACAAATGCTTGAAATCCTGCTTTCAATTTTGCATATATACCCAGAAGTGGAGCTGCTGGATCAGACAGTAATTCTCTTTTTAACTCTTACGGGAACCACCATACTGTCTTCCACAGTGGCTGCACTGTTATACATTCCCGCCAATGGCGCACAAAGGTTCCAATTTCTCCACATTGGCAGACACATGTTAATTTCTTATTAGACTGAGTCTCGCTCTGTCACCCAGGTTGGAGTGCAGTGGCACATTCTTAGCTCACTGCAACCTCTGCCTTCCAAGTTCAAGTGAGTCTCGTACCTCAGCCTCCCAAGTAGCTGAGACTACAGGCGCCCACCACCACACCTGGCTAATTTTTGTACTTTTCGTAGAGACGGGGTTTTGCCATGTTGGCCAGACTGGGCTCAAGTGATCCACCTGCCTCAGCCTCCCAAAGTATTGGGATTATAGGGATGAGCCACCGCGTCTGGCCATCTTTTTTTCTGGTAACCATCCTAATGGGTATAGGTACCTCATTGTGGTTTGATTTGCATTTCTCTAATGATTAGTGATGTTGGGCATCTTTTCATGTACTTCTTGGTCATTTGTATATCTTTGGAGAAATGTCAATTCAAGTCCTTTGCCAATATTTTCTTGTTTTTTGTTTTCAGAGACATGGTCTCCCTCTCTCGCCCAGGGAGGAATGAAGTGGCATGATCACAGTTCGCTGTAACCTCTGTTCGAGACCAGCCTGGCCTCAGGCAATCCTCACTTCTCCGCCTCCCAAAGTGCCGGAATTACAGGCATAAGCCACTGCACCCATTTTCTTTGCTCTTTTTTTAAATGGGTTATTATTTTGTTGTTGCTGTTGAATCGCAGGATTCTTTACATTCTGGCTATTAACTTCTTATCAAATATGACTGGCATATATTTTCTCCTATTCTTATAGGTTGCCTTTTCACTTGTCTTTTGCTGTGCAGAAGGTTTCCAGTTTGATAGAGTATCATTTGTCTATTTTTGCTTTTGTTTCTTACACTTTTTGATGTTGTATCTGAGAAATCATTGGCAAAACCAATGTTATGAAGCTTTTCCTCTGTGTTTTCTTTTGAGAGTTGTACATTTTTGGATCCTACACTTAGGTATTTTATCCATTTTGGGTTAATCTTTGTATATGATGTAACTTCACTCTTTTGCATGTGGATATCCAGTTTGCCAGCATCCTTTGTTGCAGAGATTGTCTTCTCCTGATCAAATATTTTTCTTTTTTTTAGTTTTTTTATGTGTGCCCCACACCACTCTACCCCCAAGTAATTTTTATACCTTACTGAAAATCATTTAAGGGTGGGCAAGGTGGCTTACACCTATAATCCCAACAATTTGGGAGGCCAAGGCAGGCCAAAAACTTCAGCTCAGGAGTCTGAGACCGGCCTGGGCAGGCAACATGACAAAACCTCATCTCTACAAAAAATACAAAAATTAGCCGGGCATGGTGGTGCATCCCTGTGGTCACAGCTATTCAGGAGGCAAAGTGGGTGGATCACCTGAGGTCAGGAGTTTGAGACCAGCCTGGGCAACATGGCGAAACCCTGTTTCTACTAAAAATACAAATATTAGCTGCACATGGTGGCACCTATAATCCTAGCCACTCTGGAGGCTGAGGCAGGAAATCACTTGAACCCAGGAGGCAGAGGTTGCAGTGAGCTAAGACTGCACTCCAGCTTGGGCAAAAGAGTGAAACCCTGTCTCGAAAGAAGAAAGAAAGAAAAGAAAGAAAGAGGAGAAAGGGAAAAGAAAAGAAGGGGAAGGGGAAGAGGAAAGGGAAAGGAGGGGAAAGGAAAGGAAAAGGAAAACAAAAAAGGAAAGGAAAGCAGAGCACAGCACAGTCGAGCAAAGTAAAGCAAAGCAAAGGATCGATCGATCTGCTCAGATTTTCTCTCTCTTCCTGATTCAGGGTTGGTAGGTTATAAAGATAAATGATTTTTAACTACAGACCTTTCACTTGACTAAAGAGATATTATATTAGAAGCTAGGCTCTCACACTAAAATAGAGAGTTAAGTATAGCCACAGCAGAAACAGGAATAAAGCAAAACACTATTAAAAAGAGTTTTTGAAATTAGCAGTTGGACCCAATAAAATCAGGGAGGCTGGGCACAGTGGCTCACACCTGTAATCCCAGCACTTTGGGAGGCTGAGGTGGGAGGATCACTTGAGGTCAGGAGCTCAAGACCAGCCTGGCCAACATGGTGAAACCCTGTCTCTACTGAAAATACAAAAATTAGCCAGGCACGGTGGTGGGCGCCTACAATCCCAGCTACTTGGGAGGCTGAGGTAGGAGAATCGCTTGAACCCGGGAGTTGGAGGTTGCAGTAAACTGATGTTATTCTGCTATACTACAGTCTGGGCAACAAGAGCGAAACTCCGTCTCAAAAAAAAAAAAAGAAATGAAATAAAATAAAATAAAATAGAATCCAAGGGATGTAAAAAAAAAAAAATTAAAAAAATAAAATCAGGGAAAAGGAGTTCAAAATCATAACATAGCATTTCTTTGCCATTTATACTTTTAAGTCAGAGACAATATATGTACTCTAGTAAGGAAAGCAAGCTACAGAAGCATACATCTAAACACATTTATGTTGACAGAAAAAAAAACTATGATTTAGCTGATAATTTTCTGATATACATAAACTCTTACCTATTTAGCCCTTCACCCACAGGCGGTTTTTGGTTATCATCTAAGTAGACAATTACTTCTTTCCTTCGGATATGCACAATATCATCCAAATTTAGATTTGTCAAATTCACATCTCCTTCGAAATAGATTGAACCATAACCTATAAATCAGAGCAAATAGTTAAAAATTCATTCTGTATAAAGGCAAATACCTACTTTACAACTATAGTGATTAAACAATCACAAGGAGAAGACAGTTTTAAATATTAGTATTTTAAATCATCCAGCAATTCCTAGACTGGTAAGAATGGGGACTTAGGGAGTAACTTCAATTATGTTGTTACCTGATTTAACATCTGTATTTCTCTTTTCTTTTTTCTTTTTTTGGCGAGGTCTTGTTCTGTTGACCAGACTGGAGTGCAGTGGTCCTGGCTCACTGCAGCCTGAACCTCCTAAACTAAAGCAATCCTCCCACCTCACCCTCCCAAGTAGCTGAGACTACAAAAACTTATCACCATGCCTGGCTAATTTTCTTTACTTTTTGGTAAAGGTGAGGTCTCACTATGTTGCCCAGGCTGGTCTGGAACTCCTGAGCTCAAGTGATCCTCTTACCTCGGCCTCCCAAAGCGCTAGGATTACAGGCGTGAGTCACTGCGACAGGCCTAACATCTGCATTTTTATAAAAATTCCATTAACCTCAAAACAACCTTCTTAAATCTCTTCCCATCTATCTACAATGCTGTTACATAAACAAACCTTTGTACTTGGCCTGGCATATGGCTTAAAATGCCTGAGCTCTTTTTAATACAATATAGCACAGTGACATTCCCTACAAGAAAATTATCAGTAATAACTTAATAACATGAAGTTAATGCTAAGTGTTACACATCTCTTGCCTACTATTCAATTTTCTCAGTAGTTCTTGGTATTTCCAGTATTTTCTTTAATTACAGAAGATTAAAATGACCCAAATAGTTACTAGCACCAAACAGGTATATCTAAGCCCAAAGAATATTATATGGCTCTGTGCTTCTCAGGAGGCTGAGGCAGGAGAAATGCTTGCGCCCAGCAGTTGAGATCTGCCAGGTAATGTAGCAAGAACCCATCTCAACAGAAAAAAAAAAATTTTTACATGGTTCTAGTCTTTGTTGTTTTATTACTTATCAATCAAAGTATCTAAGATTCAGGCCAAGGTGGGCCCAAATGTAGGAAAACACAGATTCAGCTACCAAAAGCTTCCCCTAATTACAAAAATAAGGTGCAACTCTCTGGCTTAATCACTAAATGCCAAACTCACACTTACCTTTCCGACCAATAGTGAAGTCAGAGACAATGCACTCTCCTTTTTCATTGGTAATTTTAGCAAGGTCATCCATAGACGGAATAGTATAGTAACCAACCTTAGTGAGAACAATACCTGTGACCAAAAAAAATAATAATAACAGAAAAAATAAATAAATAACCTGAAATAATCAGCAACTAAATCATCGTATAAAGATAAAATATATCAGAATGCACAATTTTTCCAAACTAATTTTCTACCAAACATGATTCCTAGGAGAAGGGGTGTGTGTGTGTGTGTGTGTGTGTGTGTGTGTGTGTGTAAAAAGCTTCATGGTCAAATAGGTTTGAAGAACATACATATGATACAACAAAGAGTCTAAATCTTACAGTAAATAGCCTATTAAACTCTGCTTAGCCTCGTGTTTTTCCAGACTTAACCACAGAACATTCTTTTCAAAGAATATCCATTAACATCCCAGACTGTAAAAGGTATCCCATAAAACACTGAGAAAGGCTTAATCCGCTTTTTCTTTTATTTGACACACAAGGATACCAAAACCTACAGTGGAAATAACTTGCGTTGGCTTAAAATGTAATTTAACAGTAGAAGAAGATATAAAACTCCAAACCCAGTACTTCTTGTTTCATTGCCTGTTTCCCATAAACCTCTTGTATCTTTCAAATTTACACTCCCAAATAGAAAGCTAAAAGAAAAATGAAAAATCCAGCCAGGCAAGGTGGCTCACGCCTGTAATCCAAGGACTTTGGGAGGCTGGGGTGAGTAGATGACTTGAGGTCAGGAGTCCAAGACAAGCCTGGCCAACATGGCAAAAATCTATTATCTACCAAAAATACAAAAATTAGCTGGGTGTGGTGGCACATGCTTGTAGTCCCACCTACTCAAGAGACTGAAGCACAAAAGAATTGCTTAAACCCAGGAGGCAGAGGTTGCAGTGAACCGAGATAGTGCCACTGTACTACAGACTAGGTAACAGAGCAAGACTGTCTCAAAAAAGTAAGTGATGGCTGGGCGCAGTGGCTCATATGCCTGTAATCCCAGCAGTTTGAAAGCCGGAGGTAGGTGGATTTCCTGAGGTCAGGAGCTCGAGACCAGCCTGGCCAACATAATGAAACCCTGTCTCTACTAAAAATACAAAAAATTAGCCGGGTGTGGTGGCAGTGGCCTGTAATCCCTGCTACTTGGGAGGCTGAGGCAGGAGAATCGCTTGAATCTGGGAGGCGGAGGATGCAGTGAGCCAAGATTGTGCCATTGCACTCCAGCCTGGGAAACAAGAGCGAAACTCTGGCTGAAAAAAACAAACAAACAAACAAAAAAAAGTAAGTGATATTTGATGGCCAAAGGAAAAGAACTATTACGCCAGGCGCTGTGGTTCACGCCTGTAACCCCAACACTTTGGGAGGTCGAGGCAGGCGGATCACCTGAGGTCAGGAGTTTGAGACCTGCCTGGCCAACATGGTGAAACCCCGTCTCTACTAAAAATACAAAAATTAGCTGGGTGTGGTGGTGGGTGGTTGTAATCCCAGCTACTCGGGAGGTTGAGGAAGAAGAATCGCTTGAACCTGGGAGGCGAAGAATGCAGTGAGCTGAGGTCACACCACTGCACTCCAGCCTGGGCAACAAAGAGCGAAACTCGGGAGGGAGGGAGGAGGGGAGGGAGGAAGGAAGAAAGGAAAAATTAAAACAGAAAAAAAAAAAGAACGAAATAAAAAAAAGCAGAGCACTGAAAAACTCAAGGAAAGTAGTGGAACACTGGTATGCTTGCTTGTTCTATTCACTCCTTGTCCTACTTGCAGTTAGATATAAGGCTAACTTGCTCTCTGAGAGAAAAGTATTTCAGGCCAACATCAGATCAAATTCCAGTCTCCAGCAACACCCACTTGTATGCTTGCTTCTTGGAAGGGAACTCTAAATTGGGTGGCAGCAATAAGAAAACTAGAACTAATATAAAACTTCATGTTAAAAAGATATATAGTAGCATAATAAATTCATGTAGATATACATACACAAATACAGATTAAGCACCTGGATTTTTTTTTTTTTTTCTTTTTTCAGGATCTTGTTCTGTCACCCAGGCTGGAGTGCAGTGGCATAATCATAGCTCACTGCAACCTTGAATCCTGGGTTCAAGCAATCCTCCCATCTCAGCTTCTGTAGTAGCTGTGACTACAGGTACGTGCCACCACACCTGGCTAATTACTTTTAAATTATTTGTAGAGATCAGGTCTTGCTATGTTGCCCGGACTGATTTCAAACTTCTGGGTTCAAACAATCCTACCACCTAAGCCTGCCAAAGTGCTGAGCCACCACACCCAGATACCTGGGATTCTTAATGTCAAAGTACAAAGTTCTTTCCTTATGATACTAAGTGACCAAATATATATATAATGGCAATAAGAAAACTAAATATACATTTTGCAGACACTTCAAGAATACCACAAAACACCCAAAATGGGCTGGGCATGGTGGATCGTGCCTGTAATCCTAGCACTTTGGGAGGCCAAGATAGGAGGATCGCTTGAGCCCAGGAGTTTGAGACCAGCCTGGGCAACATGGCAAAACAAAAGATGCAAAAATTAACAGGGTGTGGTATCATGTGCTTGTAGTCCCAGGTGCACGGGTGGCTGAGATGAGAGGTCCTGATCCCTGGAGGTTGAGGTTGCAGTGAGCCAAGACTGCGACACTGCACTCCAGCCTGGGTGACAGAGTGATACTCTGTCTCAAGAAAAAACAAACAAAAAACAATAAGCAATCTACCTGAGTTTACAAAGCTATGGGAAATATCAGGATAGTCTCTTTGGCTTATAACATTTGGGTTCTTTAGGCTACACCAGGATAATTGAAGATGTATCACAATAAGCAATCTACCTGAGTTTACAAGGCTAGGGAAAATATCAGGATAGTCTCTTTGGCTATAAAATTTGGGTTCTTTGGCTACACCAGGATAATTGAAGATGTATCAGTTTTAATACTCTAAGGTCCAAAGAGTATGCGAACTCGGAATCAACTGAAGCATAAAACTGTTTAAATATTTAAGCTCTCCTATGTGGGATCACATAAAATAATACTTAAAATGCCAAACAGCTGACTTCCATATGTTGAGTATCTGCAACAAGCAAGTCATCTCAAATGACTGGTAAGAGATTAAACACCAATCTGAACCTGACCTGCCGGATGCATATGGTAAGAATTATTTTCTATTTCTTCTCGGTCATCTTGAAGTGACTCATCATGAAAAGAGGTTTCTTCACTGCTTCCTTCCAGCCCATTTCGCAAAGCAGCACGCATGTTTAATGCAACAATGGTATCATCCACACTGTTGCTGTTGTTGTGTTTATTTCCAGCACTTTCTGGGGTTTGAGGAATAGGTTTGGCAATAGGATTAGTATAAAAACGTGACACAAGGGAATCTTCATCTCCGTCCTGCTGGTGATTCTCATCAACAGGTTTGCTTAGGAAACTAAATCTGAAAAGGAAAAGAAATAATACTTTAACTTCTTGTAGTAGTAATAACAATGATAACAGCTAACTATATACTGAGCCTTTACTAAGTGCCTGGCACTGTTCTGGATAGTTCCATGTATTAAAAATTCACTTAATACTTACTATAGCAGTACTGTGAAACAGATAATTACTGTCTCTATTGTATACTCTCCTTTGTGGAATCAAATAACTGGTTAATTTTAAGATTAAAAACAAAAAAAAGTTAGATTTTTAAGATTACAATCAACAAAATGTTAGAAAATGCTTTGTAAATAATAATTTAAAAAAACACACTAGAATTTTATCCAAAAGAAAAAAAATAGGAGTGCAAAGGTGTCTATACAACGAGTTTCTTTTTTTTTATTTTTCTTTTTCGTGATACAGCCCTCAGGAGGCCCTGAGAACATGTGCCAGCATATGAGGATTTTTACTGAAGCACTGTTTTGAGTAGAGGGATACCAGATAATCTAAACGACCACTAATAAGGAAGTCAAGTTATCTTTCATTCACAATAATGACTTATGCAATCATTTAAAAAAGAAAAGACACATATATTCATACAGATAATGGAAAGGCATTTCTAACAAAATAAATGGAAATAAGCAGTTTACAGAATACATCTTTCATGCATAATCTTTTTTTTTTTTTGTGAGACAGAGTTTTCACTCTTGTCACCCAGGCTGGGTGC